GCGAGGGCCTCATTATTGCGCTGCCGGGCAGCGGCTTGCCATGCCGCGGGGTGGCTGGCTCTCCATGGGAAGGGCGCCGGGGCTGCCGGAGGGGGCTCGGTGGGATGGAGTCTCGGCGAGCGGCCGGCCTTCCGGGCTTGGGGCGTGGCGAGGGCCGGGACGGGGAGGAGCCTTTGGGGGAGGGGAGGACGTTCGGTGTGCAAGCATGTGTCCAGACGCGGCGAGTGTGTCAGGAAACTTCGGCAATCATGCGAAGGCGAGACGCCGGAGCAGGGAGCCCATATGTGTGCACAGAGGGGCGAGAGCATCACCATGGCCCGGGGGAAGGAGTGTAGATCTCGGTGGTTTCCGGGCTTGGGGCGTGGCGAGGGCCGGGACGGGGAGGAGCCTTTGGGGGAGGGGAGGACGTTCGGTGTGCAAGCATGTGTCCAGACGCGGCGAGTGTGTCAGGAAACTTCGGCAATCATGCGAAGGCGAGACGCCGGAGCAGGGAGCCCATATGTGTGCACAGAGGGGCGAGAGCATCACCATGGCCCGGGGGGAGGGAGAGTCGAAACAACGCACCATCAAAACCAGCCTCGGGCTTGAGACCTGGCCGACGTTCATCCGGAAGGTCCAGTGAGCCCCGGCGAGCATCGCCACCGGCCGGCGTGGCCGCCCCTCGGGGAGAAGGCGAGGGCGAATCATCGACTGGGGCAGTCGCCCCGGAACCGGTGAGGGAAATTCGGCTGCGAGCCAGTCCCCGGCGCTCGGACAGCAGGAGATGAACTGGGAGCATGTCGCATGCGGACGGCGGGGCACTCGGCGGTGTTAGATGCCGAGTAGGTGGTCACAAAAGAGGCAACAGCGCGAAGGGAGAGGAGCGTGCCGCGAGGCACCTCGAGCGAGGCACCTTCACTCGGAGTTGGCTGATCGATGATGCTAAGGGGGAGGAGAGAAGGAGCCAAGTCGAGAGATGATGGACATTGAAAGGGTGTGCGGGAGGCTTATCGAGTAAGACAAGGGAGGAGAGCCGGGAGAGAAAAAAAAAGAGCAACAAACAGCGAATCCGCCCCCCCCCCCCCTCCCCCCCCTGCCCCTCTCGGATGCGAGGTCGTACGAGTCTTCCGCGGGGTCGGGGAACCTGTTGATCGCCAAAGGCCCATCACTAGCCCGGCTCCGGGGCGAGCCGAGGCCGAAAGGCGGGCGCGTAGAAACCGGCGAGGTCACTGTCGAAGCGGCCGCGGCGGCCGCCTCCAGCGCGGCCGCGGCCTGATCGATGCGTTGAATGGCGTGGGCAATTTTGCGTTCCTCCCGGCCAAGGGCCGCCGCTGCCGCGCCCTCCGACTGGGCCTGTGAAGTGCCCGGCATGCTGGCCGATGCCCCGGGCGAAGTCACCGAGCTTGAATGCTTCTTCTTTCTTGAGGCCCCGGGCGCCGAGGCACCTGTCGAAGCACCGACCGTCGTACCGGGCACGGCGCCGGGCTTCTCTTCGTGTGGGCCCACACGGCCGGACACGTCGGCCGAAGCTTTCGAGGGACGTCGAGATCGTGGCCCTCGCGCATCTCCACGAGGCGAGGCTTGAAAGGCGGGGTGAGTTCGAGCCGCCCTGAAACCGAGGGCCAACCTCGTGTGGCGGAATGTTCGCACCATAGAAACGCATGATGAGCCGTGCATCGGCCGTGTCCAGGCCCAGGCAAAAGGGACAGGAGTAACGCTCGGGGATGCGCAGCTCCGACAGGCCCAGGCACTCGGTATGCTGCCAGGTGTTGCACTTTTCACACTGGATCATCATCCGGCCATCGTCCTCGAGCGCCCGGCAGGTGCATCGGATGGCGCCATCCGATGAGGACGAAGGGGTCATCTTGCTGATGTGTCAAAGGGGAGAATCGCTCGAGGGACGGCGGCCACGACTGGGGAGCACAGGCACATCCAGCCAGCCGAGGACACTCAGAGAAAGGCGAGAGACAGGGAGAGAGAGAGAGAGACAGAGAGAGAGAGAGAGAGAGAGGGAGGGAGGGAGAGAGGGAGAGAGAGAGATGCGGAGACGGTATGTTTCGATGGGGCCGCCCCCCGGGCAGAGGAGGGCCCGGCCATCAACCTCCAAGTGGCCCCAGCCCGGGAGGTGTGCATTGGTCGCCGGGCCGGCACGGCGCTCCTGCTCGGGTCCGAGGGCAACGGAGATCCGGGCGATCTAGCTGGCAACGCATACATCACGGTGGTGTATAGTGCATCACGTGCATGTGTCACGCGATGCGACGAATTACTAAGACCCTCTCGTTTCCTCAAGCATGCACGCCAGGCCGGCGGGTGCTCCGCCCGCGGCGCCGGCGCCGACTGGAACGCTGGGGAGCAACCGGGGCACGGCGGGGGCAGAAGCGCGAAGCCGGTCCTGGGTCTGAACACGACGGCGCGAGGGGCCAGGCGAATAGGCCTCTGTCGGTCGGGATCGCGTCAGAAGTGAGTCTCTGGCAGCCTCGCCCTGGTGGTGGTTCTTCTCGCCAGGCTTGAAGGAGTCAAGGGCCGGGGAGGGGCGGGGCGGGGGGGGGGGGGGGGGGGGGCCTCTGTGACCGGGGTCCTGACACCCGCAGGATTCCCTTGAGCGCATTTCCGCCAGGACCAATGACATGCCGCGAGGAGCGGGAGACAAAGTGGGGGCGGGGGCACCCTGGGCGAACATGGGATGGCACTCTTCAAGACCACCGGCGGG